CACACACACACACACACACACACACACACACACACACACACACACACACACACAGTGGAGGACTTGTCTTTGACATGATTCATTCCCATAACCATCATAACCCATAAATCCCAGCCCACAACTCATTCAAAGCCCTTCGTGAACAGAGAAGTCTGTACAGCTTTTCAAGATCCAAGAGCATAAAAGCAAAGTGCAAAAATCGTATCTAAGAAGAAGCTGACAGAGCGGAAATAAACATATGCTTGTAACATCTGCATGACTCACCACTCAAGAAGCATTTCAACTCAAGGAAGTGAATGCAAAAACAAAAAGGTTAATACTTATGAATTAAATGGCACATTGTACCAATAAATTCTTCTTCATTAAGGTAATGATGGATATTAAACCAAACCCAGCACTGTCTTTTTAATAGCCCCAGAGCCTGTTAGGAAAAGCGCTAAAAGCTCAGCACTCGGTGGTTAGGTGTGAGAAAAGTCACATTTTGGATCATAAAGGGTTTATGGTAGATGTCTTTAGTTTATAAAAAGGGGAGGTCTTTTTCATGTCAACAAAGTTTGTATTTTCCAGTGCACAAAACGCAAGCTAAATAAACAGACTATTGACCTCTGGTGGAGAATGCAGATATAGCACCTTTTATAATAAAGTGATATATATCTAATTTCTCCAGGGATTGTTTGACCTTGATCCTGTGGTCTTTGTCAAAAAATCTAATTTTGAATGAGCACCCTCAATATCAGGGCCATTTTTTACAGTATTTTACATTTTTCTTGTTCTTTTTTGTTTGTTTGTTTTAGTCAGCTGGAACTTGGCTAATGCCATATTTTATTGTTAGCTTATTTTTATTGTGCGAGCCAGCATATAGCTGCCTTGTTGAAGTTATGGAAACTCCTCTAGATTTCCATGCCATGCATGAGCCCTTGAATCTGATCTTAAAAATGTCATGTGGTCAATTGAATGCCAGGTAAAAGCATGTTAGTAAGTTTAAGTGGATTATGCAGCAACTATTTGGTCCAAAATTAGTAGATATTGAAAATGAAAACACAAAAGAAGAATTTTCTGGCAAGGTGTTTAAAAACAACATTAAATTACATCAAGGCACTAGTGTTAGACTTAGAAGAAAAAGCCAAAAAAGTACTATGTCTGCTACAGTAGATTTAATCTATAATGAAGTCTAAACACATTGTACTCTATGCAGAATTGCAGGCACTGAGTCATGGTGTTTATACTTTGCTGTGCACTCTGTTTGTGCAGGCCATGTTTTGCAGATGACCATACAACTCTGTATTTGTATTCCCATCTTAGACAAGTGAGCCAGTATGACCTTTCAAATGCAAACAAAACATAACTTTTCAAAAGTTGGCCTGCAGATGAATGCTGGTGAAGGAAATAAAACTACTGAAAACAGCTGCAGAGCTGTGTCACACAAATAATAGCAATCACATTTATAAGGTCAGTGTATAGTGCCCATAAAGTCCACATTTGGAGTTATTCCTTAAATTTTCAGCATTAGTGTTTGCTTTATGAAACAAACATATACAGTATATAGATCAACCACATAAGGGAAGTGTAAAATATCCCTGTAGTCCCCAGATGCTGTTACTCTCCATATTGGGCTTAAACCAGTAAGAGCATTCATTTCAAGGAAATCTAAGCTGCCTTGGACACTGCGACAGATGTTTGTGTTCACCCATGTGATTTGGGGTCACACAAAAACCACTGCTCTGAAGAGTTCAGCCAGGCTCGTCCAGTGTGTGAACACTATGGCTTCCCCTCATCACCGCAGAGGAAAACATAGCAGGGCAGGAGAATCTTGTTTTCACTGATAGAAGCAACCAAAACAATGGCAGCACAGGGACAGAGCATTCATGAAGAAAATTAGCAACTTAAAGCTGCAATTTTTTCCCACTTCATCTCTAAAAACAAGCTGAACAGTTTGTTTCTGGCATGCTACCATCAGGTCCAGGTTTTGATAGCAAACAACAGAGCGCTAATGGAACGTCTAAGCCACAAAGAACAAACAGGGAAAGGTGCAAAAAGGCTCATCAGTGAGCCACTGAAATCAGCACACATTATTCTTTGTCATTTAATCTACTGTTAAGTACATACTGGAACAGTATCTCTCTGTGGGTTTAATGTGAATAGAATCTTTAAAAATACCATTAAAGTTGTGTTTGAATAGAAATGAGCCAGTAACTGCAATAGCTGTTTTGATCTTTGTGTAGCTTGTAGCCCATTACATATCTTTTTTTCACAGCTTCCACTGGGTGGCGCCGATGTTTAGCCTTTTTACATTTTAAACTTTAGCAAGTTTATGATATTTTAGGTCATTCAACTACCTATATCATCTAGTGTACCTCGGTATGTGTACTTCAGTGAATATGCAACATCAACACTTTGTCTGTGATCAAGTCACGACCATGAAGTGTCAGACTGAAAACACATCCTTTAAGTTACACAAGCAGAAACACTCCACAGTGTATACAGTCGATTTACATTTACAGAAGATATGTGCTGCAATGTGCCTGCGAACCCTCTGTAAATACAATCGCAGCTGGTCCTCACACACACACACACACACACACACATATATATATATATTGGGGGGACATCGGGTGGCACCCACTCCTTCATAATAGTGCCCCACCCACCAATGTCATTAGATGAGAGTGTGGATAAAACCAACAATGAAATATAACTATGTACGGTAACTTAAGTAAATTATGGAAAGTTTTAAAGTACAAGTATTTTATCAAGTAATGCTTTGTACTTACATATTTTCAATGTAAATGTGTACTTTGTACTATAGTGAGGTTCATCACTTGATGTCATGTACAAATTACTCAATAGCTGTCTGCCATAGTTGATGTGATGCAACCATTTGCTGCTAGGGGAACATGTACTCCCCTGGTTGGCAGTGGTTCCTGGAAGAGCCTGGCTTACACTGGGATTTCACTCAAATCAGTTGGAAAGAAAGTGCTGTACCAAAAACCTCCTGTGTGATTATTGGTTGCTAGCAGATTGCCAAAGTTGCCTGTAGTTCCAACTATGAGCCCAGCAGTAGTAAAACTTGAAAAAGTGTGACACATACTGGAAATGGAAAAGGTTTGCCTTAAAAGTAAAAGCTGTGGCTTTTAAAACATGTTGACAGCGCTGAGGCACAACTCTTTACATTGAAGATGAACATTCTCCATTTTCACTTTGTGTTCCACTTTTCACAGTTTTACAGCAGCTCGGAAAATACCCGGGCAGTTTTTGTAGACAGGTTTGTCACTGCTATTCAAACTACCACCTGTGAAATAAGCTAGAGACCAAGCAGGTTTTTGCCAATCTGTTAGGGAATACACCTTTTTCCCTAGTGACAAGTGTAGACTTACATTACTGAGGCTTTCATTATCCCTGCAAATGCCATCACACTCCAAGCACCACTCACAACCATTTGGGACAAACTGTTTCCACCAGTATTTAGGCCTCTGTTGCAGAGGCGTTATTCACTTCATCTGGACAATCTGGCAATCATGTTGACATGAATGATTAAGTGGCAGACAAGTTAATGTAAATGGTCAGTGGTCATGTGTCTGCCAAATGTATTATTTTAGATTTAGAATTATAAATCTAATGTATTATGGTGTCATATGTTAGAACTACAAAGTAACTAAATAACTAACTTAATAAATATGTCATTAAAATTGTAAAAACTGTGACTCTGTAATGTAATTTGTATGTTTCTACATAATGAGCACTTTTATTTTACTCACTTTAAGTATAGTTAATGCTGTTTAATTTTTTGTACACCACACACACATTCTCAATGTGGATCATATTAACCTATAGGTTTTCACCATATGATGGCTTGTTTTTGCTCCAGCCAAGCACTAAACACTCAACGATTACAGATTTTAAAAACCCGTGTGTTAAACAGTGAACCTGGCCTGAAGTATACAAATTTAAGGCCCTGTGTTCAAATTAAACTATTAAAATTAATGTTGATGAAAGAGCTGCATTTATATAACACAGTTGGCATTTAGCCCTTACAGGTATATTTGGGACATTAAGTCTTTTACTTTGAAATACAATACTATCCTAACTTTAAAATAAAAGTGAGCCAGTGTCAATGGCAGTAGCATGTCTTCTTACATCACCTCAACTACTGGGAGCCACACATGATCTTTCATCTCACTGTATAAACAAGATGTTGTTATATTTGCTCCATCATACTAGCTAATGGTTTCCATTAATTTACTTTAATATAATTGAGTCATTAACTATAAATCTACATGTGCACTGCTGGAGAAGAGGGGGAACATTCTAACTGTTAGTTTAAATAAGCAAATAGAGGATAAAATCCACCTAACAGGAAACTTTAATGAGAAATCCACACTTTAATGAGTCATAATAAAGGCTGAACCAGCATCTACACTTTTATATGTTTCTTTTATTGTTACATTTAATGCCACTGCCAATCCCCACAAATCCGTTTTTAAGGCCTGCTCTCTATGCACAAGATGTATCTTTTATATCAGATAAGTGAAATCACAAGGCATGAGATTCTTACAAGTGTTCTGATCGTGAGGTGGTGCCACACCGCCACTCGCTGGTGAACAAATATCACTTGTGACTTTGTGCTCCAGCATGTAAAAGTCAATCCTGCATCTGTGAGGACCTGCACATCCAACCGCACGCCACCCCTCAGCTGTAAGGATGCAATGTGACATGTGTGGAGCAGATGAGAGGAAGATCAATGATGAAGTTAAAAAGGCGGGAGGGGGAGGCTGGCTGAACAGGCAGTTCTACACAGCTGGTGTGTGTTAGACCGTCTGACACCTGGCAGATGTGTGCTCGATCTGAGCCTGTTCACATATTAAACCTGACACTCCTGTAGCATTGGTAAAGACGAGAGAGATGCACACGCTGGATCAACTTGTAGCCAAGGAAAAGGTCTGTTTTAAAGCCTGATTTCCTTCTGATATACCTTTAAGCTGACCTGTGCAAGTGATTGCACTATAATTAATCTGTCTGCACGCTTGCAGCCACTCAAACGTGCTTTCACCAACCAGAATATGCTTCAGATTTCTTACAATTATTCATGGTTGCCTTCTTAAAAAGAGAAGATTGGGGTACTAAACCCCTGAGACTAGAGCATTCTGAAAACTCTTCCAACTTTCCAAACATCTGCACTGCATCATGGAAAAAAAGAGACAAAAGCTGGAGAGAGCAGAGCAGCTATAAAACACATTAATCGTGATTTATTCTGTATATCTAAAAATCCCTTTTGTTAAGAATCGTCCCGATGCACCACTGCCAATAAAGGTTTTGATACCAGCTTACAAAGGGAGCTGCAGCACTGTCGTAATGCTGGTAGTAAATCATGTCGAAAAAAAATTCAAACACATAAAACCAAATCTGGAACGCGCACCAAGTTTCCTCTAGCATATTTGAATCGCGACCAAGCTCTTCCTCTCTGTATCACAGCAACGGGTTTACACGCAAAACACACAAGTACGTGGAACAGTAGCTCATGAGAATTACTCATGATCATTTTTCCAGTGCATTCTCATTACGTTTGGATTCGGAAGAATATGACAAGTTAATTCATCAAATCCCACATGGATACACTGAAACACTGCTGAACTCCTCCATCTCCGCTTGGACAGTCGTACAGGAGAAATGGAAGATTAATGACTCACACCTGGTCAACTAAACCCTGCAGCTCCCCCTTCTACCACCACCAGCACCACCTCTCATCCACCCACCAATAGACTAGCCCTCTTTTGGCTCTCCTGGTGCATCTGGCCAGAAGCATGGAACACTTAGTTCACACTTTTCCACTTGTGCACTGGTTTCAGGGAGGGTGTGGTATTGGGCTGCAGCGGAAACATCTAGCCATTCGACTATTCTTCATTAGAGCTCTCATGTGGGTGGGGAGACTTTAAAATTTGGTTACTATAAGAATCCCCATTCAATCTAATGGAACAAATTATCCTCTTCTATCCTCAAAGACAAAAACAGTAGTCCTCACATCTTGATATTAGCTATTTAGTGAAATCGCAAAGCATGGTGCTTGTGGTTTTACTTGCTTAAAGGATAATTGTATATCATATGGTGCAAAGTAATGCCTTATTTTTCAAGACCTTATGTAGCATCTCTGGGATTTTACACCACATATTTATTTGACATTTATAAAGCAAAGACAAAAAAGTCACACAGAAGTTTTAACAGAAGGGGCAAACATGCTTCTCTCTCCACTCACATGTATCATTCACTACATTGCTGAGGTCTCCTCCTTCACCCTAACTGCGGCTCACCTCTTGCCCTCACAGCACTCTCACCACTAAAGTATAGGTTTCAGTGTTAGTGCTAAAAGCATGCTGTTTGATATTTATGAGGTAGATGCCAGAAAGTCTTGCACAAACCTCCTATTATCTCACCCATCATGACTTTACATGTTCTGACTTGAAACTATGCTATGGTCAATGCACTATATATAATCATGTAAAGTGCAACTGAGGTCAAACTTAAAGTAAAAGTGAAATTGAGCGAGCATGCAAACTTTTTCTGCAACAACACCACCGGCACATTCAAAACTTACCCTGAGCTGAAGTAGCTGTACTCCACTGGATTCGTTTTTGAGGGAAAATGATATCAGTTATGTAAAACGACTGAGAACTAGACTACTGGGCATTATCCTCCTGGTAAATTCCCTTCGCTGGCTTTTCCAGCACCCCCCGAAGGAAGGTAGCTGAGCAAAGCAGTAATAAGGCCACTGATAAGAGATGCAGAGAGAGAGACAGAGAGAGGTCGTGAATGAAGAGGGGAAATGGTTGAGAAAGAAAGAGACAGGCACCCTCCCGGTCTCAAACCAGAGGAGCTGTGGTGCTGAGTTCAAGGCTGAGATGGGACAAACTTCTAAACTCCTGGAGTTCTGCCATCTCTCTTCCTCCGCCCACTTTCTCTAAAAAAAGAAGAAAAAAAGGAGGGAGAGGAGAGAAGAGAAGAGGGGGAGAAAAGAAGTAAATGAAAACCAGACACATGGCCCTGTTTGGTCTGGATGGAAGCAGCGGGGAGGATGATGTCACACATCTGGAGTGGGCTTTTCTCTTTACCTTTTCCTACATATTGTCATTTCTTCCTCTATCTCTGCAAAGCCCCTTTTTTCAAGCCTTTGCCATGTCAGCTAACTTGGTGTTCATTTGATTTTGAGATTTCGAATTGTCAATGCATCCTCCTTTTGATGTTGGACTCAAGTGACTCAAGTAAAAGCACAATGCAGTTTAACTAGCTTCCACCAATCAATCTAGTATTGTCAATGACTTATTAGAAGCTATGTCATTTTCTACTGTCTAGACAGCTGATGAAATGCACTGTGTGCGCTGGCCATTAAGTTTCACCAGCTCACCAGTAAACATAAAGCACAGTCAGGACAGTGTACTGGCGCACACTAAAAATTTGAGTCCTGCTAATACATTTTATTGCTCTGCAGCAACAAACTAAAATCAGCCATGAAGCCACGCATAATGACACTGCTTATGAGTTCATTTGTGTAACCACTGTGTCACAGGATGTATTTCACGCTGGAAAACTGAGAGAAGGAGCTAAAAAATGAACATCCACATAAACAATGTTGGTACTTGTTTCTGCTGGATGTGCATGTAGCCTGTTTGCATTTTTCTCTCCTTCATCTTTTATTTTTTTTAGCATGCAAGTTACAGCAGATGCATGAAGCTGGTTTCTCCAGAATCAGTGGAAAAGTATAGAAACATACCTTATAACAAAAACTTGTGCAGTGTGTAGTTAGAAAGCTAAATTAGCACATACAGAGCCATGCCATATGTATTTTTTTGAAATTCTTTGAAAACATCATTGTGCCGTGCCTGTCCAGCTACAAAGTACACTGGTATTTTATCAGCAAGAAGCCTGTTTGCTTCTTCTTGTATCATGTTAGTACCTAACATATACAGCACGAAGAGACATATACAGGACTTTTCCACTAAACTGCCACAAGTTAGTAAGCCTTGAGAGGAAGTACGGAACATTTTTACTCAAGGCGTAAACAGGAGGTCTAGTTAGAGATTTCTCAGTTGATCATGATCATGTTAGCATTTTAGCTAACTTAATATTTTTCTAGCCGTCAACTGTGTTCCTGCTAATTCACAATAGAAAACCTTTGCAACAAATTCCTTAAAATAAATGCTGTGTATGTCAAGCGGACACAGTTAGCAACTAGCTGGCAAACACACTGGGGCATTTAGCCATTTAGCAGCTGAAGAGATATATTTTTCTTGAGGAGAAGAAGAAGAGAATAAAGCTCAAAACATATGAATAACATGAATGTCTCTCATTTGTGTCTTTTCTGTGCTAAAATGCATGTTTAACAGCACATTTACCAAATAAACCTATTACTTGTTACTGGTGTAGATAGCATGATCCTGGAGTCGCTAGAGTTGGATGAAATATTTGAATTCCAAACCCTGATCTTTTCATGGATCATTTATATCATAAAATGATGCAAAAAATCTTAGAACGTGCAGATGTTACATACAAAATGTGCCCAGCCATTTGGATGCAAATGGTGGACCACTCTTAAGCTGTGCTATGCTGCAACAGTTAGCATTTTCAAGTTGTTGGTAGAAATTTGAGTTAATAGACAGTGAATATTAGGACTCTGTGCAATGTTGCTGTTAAGCTAAATTTATGACAAAGGAGGCAATGAACTTGTGAAGAGCTGAAACCCCATATCAAGCAAGAACTATAGAATATTCTGCTTTCCTCCAGTCATTGGCCTTCTCACTTACCAAAGTGTGTATTTAAAAGAGAGGTTATTGAAACACAATGAGAAGCATGTTCCTGTTGCAGTTTTCTTAAAATGCATTGTTCACATTATATTTTAACATGTCTTTGAACTGTTTTCACCTAAATATAGCCATTAATTACTCACAAATCACTGCAATCTGTTTTTATAATGGGATAATAGTCTGGAATCCATTATAAGGCAGTGGACTAAAGTGGATGTTAAAAAGAAAGGACTCATCATCACTCTTCTAGCTGAACTCTTAAAATGTTCAGACCAGATGGAGGGAGGATTGCTGTCGCATATTTCTGCCAGGGAATTAAAACAGACTTTGCTCCTGGAGGTCAGTATGCTGCATCTGACTTAATTCCCTGATATCTGTGGGGGAAAAAACACTAGTAAGTGGAGGTACAACAACAGTTGATTATAAGACAAGATAACCTTTTATTCCACCGAGCTCTGTGTGCAGTCACACTTCCACAAACTGCATCCAAAAAAGGGATTTGAAAATGCACCATATGGAAGCATTTATAACAGTGGACCAGTGCATCCATGTTCTGTTGTCTGAAGGTCATTACTCACACCACCAAAAATTTCCTGCAAACTCTGCACTGTTATGGTGCTGCTAGGCAACCCCACTGCTATAATATTGTGTGAGTAACAAGTTGTTATATGTTCAGAGAGGAAGTGAAGATGGATAAGCAGCAACTGTCCCAAATACCAAATGATGAATGAAACTGCTGACAAAATTCTGGGTTCTTATTAAATTCATTCATGTATGTTATAAGTTAAGATCAAAGTGAGATGTGGGTCGGTTGAATCCAAATATTCCTTCATCACAGAAAACATGTCTTACATATATTCCCTTGTGAGTGAGCAGTAACTGAACAGTAACTTTCACAATCAAAGCTTTCAATAGTGTCAGTGTGAAAAGGACAGCTAATTATATTGTTGGCTGATGTTAATGTCCTGCTTACAGCTTGGAACAATTGTCTAAAGTAAGGCGATACTTTGATGCACACCACCAAGGTGACTTTGTGAAAGTGCGGCTCATTGTTTCTGTCATTAACTACCCGCAGGTAGAGGTGGGACTCACTTAACCTTTAATCACATCAAACAAAAACCCAAACAAGGGGGCACTTTCTTTGGCAACCAGACGATGTTTTGGGTGTGACTTTGGTAGGTTCTTACAGTATATGGAAATTATGAAAGGCCCTGTAAAACACCAAACACACATTCACTGTTTATTTTATTCACAAATGAAAGCATGAGACTCCCTTTCACATAAGTGAAGTATTCAAACTGCTTGCTTTCCATTCCCGTGAAGGCTTTAGCATTAGGAACAAACTGTTCATTGGCTTATTTGGGGGAATGTGTTGCTTTCACCAACACACTTGTTTCCAATGGAGCATAAGCAAATAAAAGGGAAGAGGAGTACTGCCCTTACGTCACTCATACCTTTTCCGAGGAAAGTATTAATAGTAATAACAGTAACGTTAGAAGTTCAAAGATAGTAAATCCCACTGAGGATTTTTACCTTTTTAAAGCTTCCTCACATTGGGCATTACCATATAACCATTACAAAGGCATAGGTATTTTTTTCCAAGTCTTGTAAAAAAGTAGTTATATTCTTTTTATTTTTACTTAAATGCAATTCTAAAATGCCTTCTGTGTTTGTTAGGTTGACTGAAAGCTTTCAAAACAGCCCCCAAATAGGCAAATACAATGTCAGCCTGAAAAATAAACTTTATATGGAAAAATTTCATTAAAGTGTACATTATGATTAATAAAAATGTATACATTGTCCACCATACATGCCATTCTTGCTATATTAATGGCTCTACAGTAAGGGAGTAAGATTTTAGGCATATGAAACTCAGTTCAGAAAACAAGGATCCAAAATTAGCCAGTTAGCCTGACAGTTAAAGTCAGAATCCAATGAAATCTGGGGAATATCTCCATACTAACTGGTTTTCCTGGTTTCCATACTGGTTTTCCTATTCCTGAAAATGGTATAATCCTAACTGGCTTTCCAGTGCTTTCCATTTTTTTCAAGGAGTTTGACTCAGTACCACCCAATGACTCATGAAAGTATGAGTTGCATGAAACCGTCATTTTTCTTTATTCCACATAAAAACCTATGGTGTCTTCTTCATGCACCAAATCTAACAAACAGCACACTTCGAAGTGAACCGTGTATGTACTACATCACAAAAAAGGTCTACATAATTCACAGTTAATTTTTCAGTGCACATAGTTGAACTAATAATAGTATAATCAGAGGTGCTCTTTGCTGTGCCAGAACTCTGGACTCCAAAAAGAAAGGGTCGGACTTTGAGAGACTTTTTTCCTGTTTCCAGCAGGTGGCCTTATTCAAAATCCAAGCTATCATTTATTTCCTGATGTTGGATATGGCCATCACATCTGGACACATGATGGAAACTATTTAAGGCAATTCTTCTGTGCTTTGACTTGAATAACTGACTAAAATGCTGAGTAATCATTCTGCTTTCGCTTGACAGTGATGGAGCCTAGGCTTGCGCTTAAGACCTCTTAAGTTAAATATGTATGTTTTCATCCAGGTGTGTCATATACTCCATGTGTTACATTGTTATAGACAAGGTGTCCTTTGTCTACAGTAGCTAGCAGTGGGAATTGATGAGAATTTAGTCATTACAAATCAATTATCGATATCACTTATGGATTAGATTCTTTGTCAATTATCTTCTCTATTCTCACTGGGTTCTCACTGACTCTGCTGTGAGACTCACCACCATCTCTAAGCAGCATATCAAAGACATTACATTCATGCATGCTGTGTGGGAAAATGTTTGTCCAGGTTGGAGGTATTTCCCTTCTAAGCACACTATTGCCTATTTTTTTTTTTCAGTTTCCACAATCTTATTCTGTTCACTTTATTTTAAAGGACAGGTTACACACCAAAAAATACCAAACTAAACTTTGTTACCTTCAGGTAAGAAAAAAAACCCTCCTTTAGATCATTAACCCTGAAAGATTTATTTTGTTTGATTGTTTTCTTAGCCAAGCTGACACACAAGGAGTGACAAACCTTTATGCATTAATTCAAGTAAGAGCAATCTGGTTAGTATATT